CACCATCATCCTCACCATCATCATCATAATCACCATCATCATCATCATCATCATCATCATCATCATCATCATCATCATCATCATCATCATCATCATCATCATCATCATCATCATCATCATCATCATCATCATCATCATGCGCCCCCTCCGTCTCTCAGCGCCCTCCCGCGGCTCCAGCGCCCGCCCAGTGCCCCCTCCGCCCCGACCACTTTATTTCGGCACCGCACCCCCCCCCCGCTCCGCCCCCTCCCCCGCGCCGTCTCAGCGCCCCCCCGCGGCTCCAGCGCCCGCCCAGTGCCCCCTCCGCCTCGACCACTTTATTTCGGCACCGCACCCCCCCCCCGCTCCGCCCCCTCCCCCGCGCCGTCTCAGCGCCCCCCCGCGGCTCCAGCGCCCGCCCAGTGCCCCCTCCGCCTCGACCACTTTATTTCGGCACCGCACCCCCCCCCCGCTCCGCCCCCTCCCCCGCGCCGTCTCAGCGCCCCCCCGCGGCTCCAGCGCCCGCCCAGTGCCCCCTCCGCCTCGACCACTTTATTTCGGCACCGCACCCCCCCCCCGCTCCGCCCCCTCCCCCGCGCCGTCTCAGCGCCCCCCCGCGGCTCCAGCGCCCGCCCAGTGCCCCCTCCGCCCCGACCACTTTATTTCGGCACCGCACCCCCCCTCCCCGCTCCGCCCCCTCCCCCGCGCCGTCTCAGCGCCCCCGCGCGGCTCCAGCGCCCGCCCAGTGCCCCCTCCGCCCCGACCACTTTATTTCGGCACCGCACCCCCCCCCGCTCCGCCCCCTCCCCCGCGCCGTCTCAGCGCCCCCCCGCGGCTCCAGCGCCCGCCCAGTGCCCCCTCCGCCCGACCACTTTATTTCGGCACCGCACCCCCCCCCCCGCTCCGCCCCCTCCCCCGCGCCGTCTCAGCGCCCCCCCGCGGCTCCAGCGCCCGCCCAGCGCCCCCTCCGCCCCAGCGCAGCACCCCCTCCGCCCCGACCACTTTATTTCGGCACCGCACCCCCCCCCTCCGCCCCCTCCCCCGCGCCGTCTCAGCGCCCCCCCCCGCGGCAGCCCAGCGCGCCGCCCCCTCCGCCCCGACCACTTTATTTCCCGTCGTCGTCGCCCCCCTCTCTCCCTCTCCCCAGCAGATCGGCGTCGTCGTCGCCCCCCCCCCCCCCTCCCCTTCTCCCCAGCAGCCCAGCGCACCGCACCCCCCCCGCCCCGACCAACTCTTCCTTCCCTCTTCGGCCCTGTTCGTTCACTCCTTCTGCGATGTTTGGCCCCCTCTTCCCCCCCCTCCTCCTCCACCTCCTCCTCCTCCCCCTTCCTGCTTGTGCAAGAGCCATGGCACACGTGCCACTTGTTGGGGGGGGTAACGCCCGTTACGGGGGGGGGGTCCGGCCCCAAGTTGGGGGAAACGGTAACGCGCGGCGGGGCCCTCGCACGGGCCCTGGTACTTATTACCAGCACAACTGTCGGCACGGTAGGCTTCGTCGTCGTCGTCGTCGTCGCCGCCGCTGTCGTCGTCGTCGAAGCCGACCGTGCCCGTGCACACTACACAGGCTCTGTACACCGCGATGCCTTTGTACACCGCAACTGCGGCAGAAATGGTATGTGTGTGCACCACGGCGACTGAGCACATCATGACAGGCGGGTGTACATCTCACTGTTGGTGCACTCCACGGCGCCCGCGTGCACCACAGCTGCTGTTTCAACGCCCCGTTTGCACCAGAATGCCAGCGTACACCACAAAGTTTGTGTACACCTGTAAGGTACCAGCGGAGCGAAAGTCCAGAAGATCGTTCGGGGCCCAACCGTGGCCTTTTCATTATGTGAGCTGCTTGTGGATCTTAGTTTTCTTGGTTCAAAAAGCGCTCGGACCTGTTGAGCCCACAGCGCCTGTGTACTCCATTGCGACTGTGTACATCATGGGAATGTGAACCGTGGCGCCTGTGTATACCACATGGCATGTGTGCACCACAAAGCTTGTGTACGGTTTTTTTGTGCGGAGCGTAAACCACGCACCGTGGGGGCGCGGGGCGGCGGCAGCCTAGGGAATACAGGAAGCAGGAGCTCCCTGCACAGGCACAAGGCCCTTGAGACATGGGTCGACGGCTGGAGCGTGCACGCGGGCGCGTCGTCGTCGTCGCCGTCTGTTGCGACGGCGACCCGGGGAGCGACGGCGGCGGCGGCGGCGACACGGGCGGCGGCGACGGCGACCACGACGACGACGACGACGACGGCGGCGGCGACGGCGACGACGCCGACGGCGGCAAGCGGCGGCGGCGGCGGTGAAGGTGACCGCCGCCGCCGTCACCGCCGTCGTCGTCGCCGCCGATGCCGCCGTCGCCGTCGCCGCCGCCGCCGCCGTGTCCGCAGCCAGTTGCCGAAAGCTTCAGCAGCGCTTGGGGCCCACTTGCTGGATACACATGCGGGGGGCTGGCGTGACCGGCCGCGCGAGGTAGGAGGGCCGAGCGCTGGAATGACATGCGGCCACATCCGCGCGCAGGTCTCGCCCAGTCCAGCCCCTTGCACCAGCACAGGGAGAATGGAGGGATAACAGTGGTAGTAGTCACAATGATATTGTGAGAGCGCACCGGCTGGTTGCGCCATGGCTTGACTGATGCGTTACACCACACGTTTTGCTTGCGTACAATTACCTGCGCCATAGGTTGAGCCGTAAGCTGCGCCATAGGATGCGCCCCCAGGGCGTGCCATAGCTTGCGCCATAGGTTGCGCACCCAGGGCGCCCCACAAATCGCGCCTTACGTTGCGCCTTAGGTTGCGCCCTCAGGGCGTGCCATAGGTTGCGTCGATGGTTGCGCCACAGGTTGCACCAAAGGCGGGGCCACTTTGTGGCGCTGCGTTTCAACGGAACTCCTGGTGCGCGCGCTGTTCGGGGAAACGTCGTGCTGGCAGGCGGGCGTCGGGACTCCGGGTGCAGCCCGCAGGATAATGACAACGGACGCGGCAGGGATGACGACGACCATTCTGTGGCACCTGTGGCGCGCCACACCGCCGATCAAGTGCTAAAGCGCAGTGCCCGTTGGCACTGCCCGTCGAAGGGACCAGAGGAAGATGATCCCCCTCCTCCTCCGATCCCCCGCCGATCCTCCATCCTCCTCCTCCTCCTCCTCCTCCTCCTCCTCCTCCTCCTCCTCCTCTTCTGCCCCCTCCTCCTCCTCAGGCCCCTCCTCCGATCCCCCATCACCTCCTCCGATCCTGTTCCAACCCTCCTCGTCCTCCTCGTCCTCCTCCTCCTCCTCCTCCTCCTCCTCCTCCTCCTCCCTCTGCCTCGCTCCCCCCTCTCCCCAGGAGGTGAGAGGAGGTGGAGGGCACGAGCACTGGAGGGAGTGCAGAAGCAAGGCAAAGGAGGTGGAGGGGGCAGGCGGGAACCCGTTGAAAGGTTCGCGCCAAGGGATGCGAACCTCGAACCTCGAGGATCGAGGCATCCTGGCCCTCGAGGGCCTTCGTCGTCGCCGCGGCTGGACGCGGCTCGGGAAACTGGTGCGTCTGAGCCCCAGTCGGGCCCCGTGGACCCATTTTGAGTTTGCGCCGAGGCTCGAACCTCGAACATCGAACCTGAGCACACATGTGAGCGTCACAGCATGCCTGCCTGGACAAAGGGGGGTCCGCACCCCCGTCCCCGTACGCTCGTTACCGCTACGGGGGGGGGGGGGACCCCCCCCGTAACGGGCGTTACGGGTCCGAGCAATAAAAAAACAAGCTCCAATGCCTTAATCGACGTGTCAGGGTAGGAGGTCTGTCCACCCCCACAAGGATTAAGCCAGGCCTGTCCCCCTACAGGGGGATTCTCGACGAAAACTAAAAAGTACCCCCAACAATAACAAACAAAAAATCCAAAAATAGTCTGGGGATTTTTTGTTTTTGCCTTTTTGGTGTATTTTTGTGGTATTCTTTATTTGTCGTCGAAAATCCCCCTGTAGGGGGACACGCCCGACTTAACACAAGGACTTCAGCGCGCCCACGTACACGCAGTATGTATGAAGAGAGCTCCGCGCCCTGCGCTACACATGACTTCGTAGGGGCGGGTCCGTCGCCAAGCCAGTTGCTCGCGTTTCCCCGGTTTTCGGCCCATACCGCGACCGTGCCTGAGTTTTGTTGTCTACTCTCAAGTCTTTCCAGAGTCTCTCAGACTCTTCAGTTGGCTGTCTCCTCTCCTCCGCCTGCAGATCGGACTGCAGAGGTCGGTTTCGCACAGGCGTCGACCAGGCCCGCCCGCAACGTCAGACCGACAACTCTTTGAGTTCGCAGCGCTTCGGTGAGGCCTGGAGACGCGCGGCTGAAGCGGGATCGGGTGCATCCAAAAGACCGTTTTTTGGGAATCGGCGATAACCCGGGTTATCCGGGGGTGGGCGGGAGGAGGGGACCAGCCGATGACCTATAACCTTCGGGCTGTGGACAGCCCTGCATCTGCCCGCGCCCCCCCACCCCGGACCTGCACAACCGGCAAGGTTAGGCTATCCTGGGGGGGGGTGGGGGAGAGGGGGGCAAGCCAGATAACCCGGGTTATCGCCGGACCCTTCAAAAAACAGTCTCCAAGGAAACATCGCACAGTCGCCTGCAGCTTTCTAACGTGGAGGCTCGGCGCAGCTGGCCGGCGGCAAGTGCGCGGTGAGGCTCGCCCCGCTCGCCACACAAAACGTATCAGTGCTTGATGCAGTGCCTGAGAACATGGCTCGCTGCCCGCGGGGGGGGGGGGGGCCTCCCCTGCCGCGTAACACGGAGGCCCCTCTCTCCTCTGCTTCCCCTTCCTCCTCCTTCTCCTCCTCCTCCTCCTCCTCCTCTGCGAGGCGGGGATTTATCCATATCCACCGCCTGGGAACCGACGTCCTGGTGCCCCAGCGGGCGGTGGATATGGATATATTTCGGCCCCCTGGGGGCCCGAATATGTCCATATCCACCGCCTGCCGAGGCTCCGAAAACTGACCCCCCAGGCGGTGGATATGGATCAATTCCGGCCTCGTATCCTCCTCCTCCTATAGTGCGATGAGAGCTTTGATCATTTTCTAGAACCATCTCGCGCTGCAGGTCTAGACGGGACAAGCCCGACTTCGCAAACATACGAAGCTAGAAGCGCAGGGGGCGGAAGCCAGAAGGCGAGATAGGGACGCACAGGGCGAGGAAAGGGGGGAAAGAAGAGAAGACGGGGAGAAAAAATGCGGGAGATCGATTCGAAGGGAACAAGAATACTCGCCGTCACGGCGGAAAAGGCAGCGCATCCCCTCCCCCTCCCGACGCCCTATTGAGCATGGCTTGGACAGCCGCATGTGCTGCCTCAGCGCATTCTGAGGCGATGGCTCAGACGGAGGCCATGGCACTGCGCGTCCACGGGCGACGGGCGACGAGGGCAGGAGGAAGTGGAAGAAGAGAAGACAAGAGAAGGGCATGTTTTATGAAACTGAAAAAAACACTGTGGCGTCCAAGTTCTTCTGCAATCGGAAAAGAAAAATCGTGAGCAACTGCGGAACTGCACCGTCAAATGCTGGTGCAGGACGGAGCTGCCCGCGACAATGTCTGCTAGGGCGCGCGCCGCCGTCAGTAGCAACATTCACCACCTGCCTGCCGCATCCAATGTCGAAGGCACTGTGTGACAGACGGTGCAAGCGTGAAAAAAACGATGGGGCCGAGCCACACCAACTAGCGCCCATGGCTTGGGAACGCTCCACGATTCGAACACGGAAATCTTGCCGAACCATGGTTCAAGGGTGGCTCAAACCACTGAGACGGTTTTCCGTGAACATCGGGAGCCCCTTAGAGCACTCTTCTTAAAAAGAAGCAACTGAGAACAATTACAGCAATCATTGCTTATCGAGCAAAACACCTACATAATGCACATGCAGTTCTAGCATGGGCTACCTGCAAAGTGTCGAACCACAATCATCATACAGCATACATAACGATCAAATACAAGCGAGCGCGCGCAACTGCAAGTATTGACGAACATCTGTGGATGACGTGCACCACGAATATCGAAAGACTCGGGGCGCTCCAATCCAAGCCTAAGCGCCGAAGGGCCGAAGACGTCAGCCTGAAGGAAACCCCGTCAAGTCGCAATCACGTCGACGGGATCCCCGCCCCGTCGATCCTTTCTCCGCGGGGGGGGGCCTCCCCTGCCGCGTAATACGGAGGCCCCTCTCTCCTCTGCTTTCTCTTCCTCCTCCTCCTCCTCCTCCTCCTCCTCCTCCTCCTCCTCCCCCTCCTCCTCCTCCCTCGTCGTCGTCGTCGTCGTCGCCGCACCCCCCCACGACGGCCCAAGCGTGGACACTCGAGAGCCCGAAAAAGCCAACATACCGAAAATACACGCCTCCCCGGGGAACGGGACGATTTTTGCTTCTGGGGCAGCCTCGGGGGGGCCCCTCGGAACCCTCTTGGGGCACCTCGAGTGTCTCCAGGGCCGTCTTCAAGCAGTGTCGACAGGCTCTCCGGAGCCTGTTCTGGGCCCTCTTGGGCCGTCTTTAGGGAAACAAAGAATGGCATAAACATAAAAACTCGGAGGTCAGCGCAGATTTCTCTGATCGGCGCTGGGGCCCGGCGGCGCCTCCGGCGCCGCCCCTGGCGCGCTCCGCGCGCCAGTGAGGGGGGTCCAGCGCCGATCCGAGAAATCCGCGCGGACCTCCGAGTTTTTATGTTTATGACGCACAGATTAAAAAACAAGTCCCAGGATTCCCCATATTGTCTCAAACCTTCTGGATGTTCGTCTTCCCCCCCCACTTCCTATATTTTCTCAGATCTTCCAGGAGATCGATGATTAATTGAGTCTGTGTGTTTTTCCCCCTCCTGAAAGTCGGGGTCGGCCAAGAGGGGGGGGCGTCCAAGAGGGGGGGCGCAATCATGGCCAGCGGCATGTGCGCGGCCCAGGGGGGGGCGGCAGGGACGTAATGAAATAAGAAGAGGCGAATCTTCGTGATGGGAGCAGCGCGCGCCTGGATACAGTATCCCTCCTGGCACCATGAAATCTGGGGAAATATCATGGCCCACGCCATGATATCCACCCCCCCCTTAGTCATCACCCCCCTCTGGGCCGCCCCCGAATAAGAAACCTATGGTTCCTGCTCGACGATTGACCTCGTGGGGCCGTCATCGGGGCCCTCGCGGGCCGTCTGTGGAGCCTCCTGGCCGGATCTTCGGTCCCTCCGGGGCCGCCGTGGGGCTCGCTTCGGGTCCCCTTGGGCCGTCCTGCCGCCCTCTTGAAAGCGCCACAACCTGGCCATCGCTCGGACGTCCATTCCCTGTACTTTTTTCGGTTTCGTGCGTGGTTTTTTCGCCAAATGGTCAAGGATGCTCCTCGATGGTCCGCGCCGAAGGAAAAATGCACACGTCCGAGCGATGCCAGGCAACTGTCCTGGGGCCGTCTGGAGCTGGCTTTGGGGGCACCGGAAGACCCGCGGGAGCCGGCGTGGAGAGCCCGGGGCTCGCCCGTGTTGGCGGTGCTTCGGCCAAAACTGCAATGCGGATGACGTTGGGCTCCTCCAGCTTCGCCTCCCGCATGGCGCTGGGCAGCGCTCAAGCCCACTGCCACTGCTCGCCATGATTATGCTGGCCCTAGCGTTGTAGCCGGGGGGGGGCTGCGTTGATGAGTAGAATTGGGCTCCCAGACACCGCTGAGGTCGACAGGGTACGCAGCAACATTTCTCGCCTACACCCCGCAATGCTCTCAGCAGTGCAGCCGATCGAATCACACCGCTACAACCCCGCCCGCCGCACTGAGCAACGACAACGCCTGCTTCCACTGGCCGCCTTGCTCACACATACTGACTACAATTCCGTAGGCGTGGAAGTCTGGATCAAATTTTCTCCAGCGCGTTTCCCCCAGAAAGGAGAGAGCCTGTAACCACGCTCCTCCCAGCTCGCACGCGTAAATCCCAGCGCTGTAACTGGTGACGTCGGGCTCCAAGTGTACATGCCGCATCTCGCTGAACAGTGCCAGCGCCCTCTGCCACTGCTCGCCCTTCTCGCCAGCGCCGATCCCAGCGTTGTAGCTGACTAGGGCTGACCCGCGGCCTTCCGGCCGCGGAATCTGCCCGCCATGGCGTGGACGTGGAAGTGGAGCGTCTCTGGGGCCTCGCAGGAAAGGGGAGGTTGGAGGGGACGGCGTGGATGGAGGAGGTGGACCCGTGCTTGCGGCCACTGGCGGCCGTGAGGGCACGAAAAAGCCCCCCAAAAGGCTCCAAGAGGGCCTCAGGTCGCCGCCTGGCGCGGGCCCACTGCCACCACCCTGCCAAGAGGGGCCTCTCTGTGGCAGAATGCACTCGGCCCTGTCTTGGAGGGTCCCGAAGGCTGCAAAAGGGCCGCAAGAGCGCCCCCAGGAGGCCTCAAGAGGGCCCAAAACCGCATGTGCTTGATATGCTTCTGGGGCTTGCGAGAAGGGCGCCCAAGCACATGCGTCATGGGGCCTTGTCGGGGCCCTCGTGGGGCCCTGCTGGCCTCCTCTTGGGGACGCCATGGGCGCCTAAAGAGCCGTCCTGGCGCAGTCTTGAGCCGTCTTGGGGCCCTCCTGACAGCCTCCTGAGGCGTTTTGGGACGATCTCGAGGGCCTGTGCGGCCGTCTTGGACGCTTCGAAAATGAAAAGCGCAGGAATTCCCGAGATGAACGATTTGCCTGAGGATTGGGACGGTTTTTCCTTGTTCGGGCTATCCTGGGGCTCTCTCTGGAGCCCACTTGGAGCGTTATGGGGGCCTCTTGGGCCGTCGGGCGGATGTCTTGGGCGTCTTCGAGCACTCGGGGCCCGTATGGGATGCCCTCTTGGACCGTCTTCGGGCCCTCTTGGGGGCCTACAAGGGCGGCTCGGAACGCTGTGAAGCCATCTTGGAAGCGCGCCGGGGCCTCGGGGCCGCGCGGGTGGCCGCCGGAGGGGGCTGGTCCATGACGATCGGTGTTGCTAGAAGTGCCCCTGGCCCAAGGTGCCCCCAGCGTTTCGCTGCATTTTGGAGCCCCTGGGGCCCTCTGGGCCTCGTGAGGGGTGCCCTGGAGGCCGTCTGGGCCACCCCGAGAATCCTGGGTGTACCTTGGGCCAGGGGTACTTCTGGCAACACCCGAGACGACTGTTCGCCCATTTGGCTAGCGGTGAACGCTGCAGTAGAGTAGAGTCAGGAGGGCGTAAGACCCGGGTACAGGGGACTCTTAAATCCCCGACGAGGTCGTCAAAAAAGACGAGGCTGAACCTGCATTTTGACGAGGCCTCCCGCTGCAGACATCCCACGAAACTCCTGCTCGTCAAAATCCGAGTCGCGGTCGTCAAAAAACGATGGCGAACCCGAGTCCTGGCAAACCCGGGTCTTACGCTCCCCCGATAGAGTAGAGATGACGGTAAGCTCCAGCTTCGCCGCCCGCATCTCTCTGAACAGCGTCACAGCCCTCTGCCGCTGCAGGCTTTTCTCGCAGGCGCTGGCCCCAGCGTTGTAACTGACACGGTTTGCTGAACCTGGGGCTCACAAGTCGTAGGTCTGATGGACAGAAGAGGGCGACGAGGCCGAGCAGCTCGTGGAGCTCGTGGAGCGGACGGGGGATGAACAAATGCAGGTGGGAGGCCTCGAAGCGCCCGAGCGTGCCACGGCAGCGACTCCGTAGAGGAGGGAATGCGGCGAGTTTCTGTCGTGACGAGCTGCGATGTTGCTCTTGACGCCGCGGGGAACGCTCTCAACCCTGCACGATCGGAAGCTCTGGAGTCGTGCGATCGTTCACGCCGGCCGGTTCTGGACCGATGTCGGCGTTGAGCCCTCGGGGCCGGCGCTGAGGTCGCCGCCGCGTCGACGCGCACCCCCCCCCCGCTGCTCGGCGAAGAGGGCCAAGAACCTCTTTCTCAGTTGTAGGTGACCACATGCGAACCCTACCCCTACCCCCCACGATTTCTGAGGGGGAGGGTGGGGTTCACTTCGCTGGGGAGCTCCCGAGCGAAGTGAACCCCCCCCCCCCCTCACAAGTCGTGGGGGTAGGGGTAGGGTTCGCATGTGGTCCCCTAAGTTGGCGCGAGGCGGGGCAGGCAGCGGAGAGCAGAACGGCACGAGGACGAGGGAGAAGGACGCGAGCGCTCCGGGAGGCTCGGAGAGGCGCTCCCTCTGCCTCTCGGCCGCGGCCCCAGGGACCCCCTGCGTGACCGCCGCTCCCGCGGCGGCCTCTCCCCGCTCTGCCCCGGCTGCGCGCGTGCATCTCTTGCAGTGGCGCGAGGAGGCTGCCAGTGGAGAGCGCTGGTCCGCTGGGGGCGGGTGGGGCTGTTCCTGAGCCACGTCCCGTCGGGCTGTGAGCTGGGGTGGGGGGGCCACGTGCGAACCCTACCCCTACCCCCCGCGATTTCTGGGGGGGAGGGTGGGGTTCACTTCGCTCGAGAGCTCCCGAACGAGGTGAACCCCACCCTCCCCCTCAGAAATCGTGGGGGGTAGGGGTAGGGTTCGCATGTGGCCCCCTATGGGCGCCCCTGTCCTCCTCTAGAATGCGGGCGCGGCCGCAAGAGACCCTCGCAGGAAACCCAAGCCCGCGAAGCCGTGCGCGAGGTGCACCTGAGGGGAAACCCGGAACACCCTGAACGCAGCAGCTCCTTCAACGGCTGCGGGAAGTCAACGCGCAACGCGAGGAGCGGAGAAACCTAAGATACCCTGACGAAAAGCATATGGTTTCCGGGCACCATTTCTCTCCCCGACGTGCGAAGCCTCCTGGGGGCCTGCCTGGGGCATCAGGGGCCACTCTTGGGACATCAGTCCCTGGTCGCGTTTCGCGAGAGGGTTCTGGAAAATGGTCAAAGCTCTCATCGCACTAAAGGAGGAGGAGGAGGAGGAGGAGGAGGAGGAGGAGGAGGAGGAGGAGGAGGAGGAGGAGGAGGAGGAGTAAGAGGAGGACACAAAAGGAGGTCGGGGGGGGGGGGACGCGTCTCGCTGGCCCAGCGGGCTGCCAACATTGTGCGTGTTTACGTATGTTCCTATCGACTGTGCCCCTCTACCGTGGTTCGAACCCTACGTGTTTCACTCCTTCCCAACCATCCTGTGGTGTTGGGTCCTCGATTTGAAGAGGCGGTCCCCGCGCTCCTCTCCTCCTCTCCTCTCATCTCCTCCTCCTCCTCCTCCTCCTCCTCCCTCTCCTCCCTCCTCCCGTCACCCCCCTCGCATTGGCACACCCCTCACACGCTTCGTGGCCCCACAGGGAGCTCCACCGAAGGCCCCAGCCGGGGTGCCCGCATGCGTCCCCCCCACACAGTACAACGCTTCGTGGCCCCATAGGGAGCTCCACCGAAGGCCCCAGTGGAGGTGTCCGCATGTAGTCCCCCCACCCAGTGCAGCGTTTCGTGGCCCCACAGGGAGCTCCACCGAAGGCCCCAGTGGGGGTGCCCGCATGCGGTCCCCCCCCCTAGGGAGCTCCATCGAATGCCCTAGGGTGGGGGTGCCCGCATGCGCCCCCCCCCCCGCACAGTGCAGCGCTTCGTGGCCCCACAGGGAGCTCCACCGAAGGCCCCAGTGGGGGTGCCCGCATGCGAACCCCCTACCCAATGCAGCGCTTCGTGGCCCCATAGGAAGATCCACCGAAAGCCCCAGCCGGGGTGCCCGGTTGCCGGATGCGGCCCCCCCACCCAGTGCAGCGTTTCTTGGCCCCACAGAGAGGGGTGCCCGCATACGGTCCCCCCACACAGTGCAGCGTTTCGTGGCCCCACAGGGAGCTCCACCGAATGCCCTAGGGTGGGGGTGCCCGTATGCGTCCCCCCCATCCAGTGCAGCGCTTCGTGGCCCCATACGGGGCTCTACCGCCCGCATGCGTTCCCCTCCGCCACGCCCAGCGTTTCGAGGCCCCGCAGGGAGCTCCATCGAAGAAGAGATTTACAACTTCGGCACTCACAACTGCGCATATGGCTGGGTCCTTCGCCAAGATCACTGTGCTCCTGTAAATTGCCCCTTTCCTGTGGCTCGAAAACCGTGTGATTGACTGCGTACATGTTCCCTCTCCCCTGTGGCTCGAATCCTACATGTATGACGTGCGGTGCCATCGATTGCCCTTCTCCAAGGGGGGCTGGGGGACGCGTCTCCCAGGCCCAGCGGCTGCCGGTACAATGTGTTGCGTATGTTCGTGTCGAGTGCCCCTCTACTGTGGCTCGAAACCAATGTTGTATATATGTTCCTATAGATTGCTCTTTCCCTGGGACTCGAAGCCCTTCTGTCCTACACATGTTCCTACAGATTGCCCCCCTCTCATGTAGCTCGAATCCTATATGCTGTACGTGTGTTCCTACATATTGCCCCTCTCCTGTGGATGGAATATTATGTGTTTTACTCATGCTCCTGTAGATTACCCTTAATCCTGGGGTTCGAGTCCTATGTGTTACGCGTATGCCTTCAGATTGGCCCTCTTCTGTGGCTCGAATCCGATGTGTTCAACGTATGTGCCTATCGATTGCCCCGTTCCTGGAGCTCGAATACTATTTGTTTTACGTGTGTGCCTATAGATTGCCCCTGCCCTGTGTCTCGACTCCTATGTGTTTCGCTCATGTTATGTAGATTATCCTTATTCTGGGGTTCGAATCCGATGTGCCTTACGTAATGCAGGATGACGAGAAATTGAAAAATAGGGGGAACGATGCAAAACATTTTCTTTGATTTATATAGGATGTTTCAACGGAAGGAGGACGATTAAATAATATGTCTATTGCAGGTCGGCTTCGAATTTTGCGTCGAATGCTCATTTCACGTCGTCGTCAAATTTTATGTTACATAATTGTTCGACGTCGACTTCAAACTTTTCGTCAAATACACATTCTACGTCGGCTTCAAACTTTTACGTCGGAAACTCGTTCCACGTCGGCTTCAGACAATATGTCTAATGCTCATTTGACGTCGGATTCAAACGTTACATCAAATACACTATCCACGTCGACGGCTGTCCGGGCGCGCGCCCGAGGACGGCAGGGGGGGAACGATTGAAAAAAAAAGTTTCCCAGCCCGCGGCCCGTTTTTTCTAATCATCCTCCAGGGCGCCGCCGACGCAACACAACCCCTGTTCATGTATTAATCGTCATCCTACATTATGTTACTATATATTGCCCCTCTCCTGTGGCTCGAATCCTGTGTTAGGCGTATGTCTGCAGATTTGCCGCCTTCTGCGGTTCAAATCCTGCGCGTTTGCCGTGTATCCCTATAGCTTGCCCCTTTCATGTGGCTCGAACCCTGTGTTTTACGTGCGTGCCTATAGATTGCGCCTTTCCAGTGGCTCGAATCCTTTTGTGTTTCACGTATGTGCCTATTGTTTGTCCCCTCTGGTGGCTCAAAACTTGTGTTTTACGTGTGCCTATAGATTGCCCCTCTCCTGTGGCTCGAATCATGTGTCTCCCCAGGCCTCCCCATTCCCCGGGACGGAACGTTGGAAGTTCATGTTTATCTGGTGGTTGACCTTTTTTCCATGTTGGAATCGCCTTAGAGCTAGCCTAGGGCATTTTTGGGGCTCTCAAGGGGTCTGTGGGGACTCTGTTGGGGCAGTCTTGGAGGGCACATGGGGCTCTTTGGGGCCGTCTTCGGGCGCTCTTGGGCCATCTTGGGTCTCATTTGAGCCCTCGAAGGCGTCTCTTGGGAGTCTCTTCGGCGGTATTTGCGTGATGTAGGAGCCTTTCGGATCCGTTCTTGATGCGGCATGGGAAGCTAAAATCAAGGGGCCCAGAAACACACAAATAAATACACACAAATAATAAAATCCCCCATCTGTTCCCATATGTTTTGAGTTTTGTCTTCCTTTCCACTTCCCATATGTTCCCATTTCCTGGGAGTCGACGATTTATTGTGTCGGTCAGTTTCTTTCCCTCCTGATGAAAATCCTACCTTAAAAACAATCGAATTTGGCCTCGTTGGGCAAGCCAGCATCGGGGTCCGCCAGGGGCCGTCGTGGGAGGCCTCCCGGCGTGCCTCTGGGCCGTCCTGGAACACTCGGAGGCTTGCTTCGGGCTCTCTGGTGCCTCCCGGGCGCTCTCTGGAGCGTCCCTGAGCCGTCGCTGGACGTCTTGCAGCCTTTTTGAAGGGGCCCTGGGGCACACAAAGAAGTAGACACAAACAACCCGATTCCCCATATTTGTCCCATAGTTTCTGGGTGTCTGTCTCCCCCCCCCACTTCCTATATTTTCCCAGATTCCCGGGGGAATCGACGATTTGTTGCGTCTGTGTGTTACTTTCCCTTCTGAGTTCTGTCGGCCGCCCAGGGCCGTCCAGGACCGCCCCTTTGGCCGCCCCGGCCCGCTGCAATTGCAGCGCCATCTCGCACGCGGTGGCCCGAGTGCTGTAGCACAGATGGCGTCGGGCTCCAGCTTCGCGTCCCGCATCTCGAGGAGCAGCGCCAAAGCCCGCTGCCACTGCAGGCCCTTCTCGCACGCGCTGATCCCAGCGTTGTAGCTGACGGTGTTGGGCTCCAGCTGCGCCTTCCGCATCTCGCGGAGCAGAGCCAGCGCCCGCTGCCACTGCTCGCCCTTCTCGCATGCACTGATCCCAGCGCTATAGCTGATGACATCAGGCTCCACCTTCACCTCCCACATCTCGCTCAACAGCGCCAGCGCAGGCTGCCACTTCTCGCCTTTCTCGCACGCGCTAATCCCAGCATTGAAGCTGATGACGTTGGGATTCAGCTTCGCCTTCCGCAACTCGCACAGCAGCGTTAGAGCACGCTGCCACTGCTCGCCCTTCTCGCACGCGCTGATCCCAGCATTGCAGCTGATGATGCTGGGCTCCAGCTTCTCCTCCCGCAGCACGCAGAGCAGCGCCAGAGCACGCAGCCACTGTTCGCCTTTTTCGCACGCGCTGATCCCAGCGTTGTAGCTGACTAGGGCTGACCCGCGGCCTTCCGGCCGCGGAATCTGCCCGCCGTGGCGTGGACGTGGAAGTGGAGCGTCTCTGGGGCCTCGCGGGGAAGGGGAGGGTGGAGGAACGGCGTGGAATGAGGAGGTGGCCGCTGGAGGTGGAGGCGAGCGAGGGATGCAAGCAAGCAGGCTTAAGGCAGGAACGCGGTGGTGGAGGCGGTGCCAGTGAAAGCACACCCGCGTAGGCATGACATGGTGTGGACAGAAGCTGTTTCTGACGCCGCAGTCTGTGTTCATCATAGTTTCTGCGGGTCGGGGGCGTCTGGGAGCGTCTTGGGGCGATCTTGGGGTCCTGTGCAGCCGTCTTCGAAACTGTGCAAAGGGACAGGAGGAACACATGACACAAATATGTCTCCTGCAGGGAATGGGGCGATTTTGCCCCTTGGGTCTCTCCTGGGGGTTCTCCTGGGCCGTCACAGGAGCCTCCTGGCCTGCCTTGCAAGTCTCTGGGGCCATCCTGGGGCTCGCTTGGGGTCCTCTCGGGGCGTCGTGGCGCCCCCTTGCGCGTCTCTGAGCCGTCTTGGGGCCCCCTGGAGCCGTCTCGGAGCGCCAGGGGGACTCGCAGGGCGCCCCAGAGGGCCCGGGGAGCCTTCCGAGACAAAAGCCTTCTCGCACGCAAAGGCCGCTGCATTGTAGAAGAGACATGGGCTGACCCGTGGACTACGTCCACTTGCGGGCTGAAGGGGTGCTGCCGCAAGGCGATCAGGATGAATGGCGTCCTGTTCGCCTGCCGCGCATCGCTGACCGAGGAGACGGATGAGCGTCTGGACGCCCCATTTGGGGCGCTCAAGGGCTCCCTTGGGATCGGGTCGGGCTTTGTCGGTGCGTTGGGTCCGACCTTCTCGGGGCGTTCTGGGGCCGTCTGGGGGCCCTCTGAGGGGCCCCAAGATCACCAACACGCCTCCAAGATAGCCCCATAATGGCCGCCCGCCCAGAGTCGGCGGGACCGATTCTGGGCCATCGCGCCGCCGACCCAGAATCCCGCCCGACGCGCCCTGGGCGGCCGCGCGCGCTTCCGGGGTCGGCCGAGGCGATTCTGGGCCACCAGAAATGCGAAGCACGGCATGACCCCAAGAGGCCGCGGAGAAGGCTCCAGACCGACAAAAAGGCCGAGTGATGTTTGGGCCAAATCCGGCAGGGAACGCCAAACAAGCATCAGATGCCCATGGTGCGCTGGGAGCCGTTTTTGGGCCGTCCAGGGCCGTTTTGACGCCGTGATGGGAGACACCTGGGGGGTCTTTGTGCGATCTTGGGTGCCTGTATGGCAATGTCGGACGCTTTGAAGACGACGAGCAGGGGAAGAGCGCAAGTTGCCGCTTTCCTGAGGGATTGGGGCAGATGTCTCCGCGTTCGAGCTGTATGGGAGCGCTCCTTCGAGCCCAGATGGAGCGCCTTGGAGCTGTCTCGGGCCTGTGGAAGCTATCGTGGGCGTCTTCGATCGCTGAGGCCGTCTGGGATCGTCTGGGAGGTATCACGGGAAGCTCCTGGGGCGGGTAGGAGGTATCCTGGGAGTCGGGTGGCCGTCTTGGGCCGTCTAGGAAGCCTCAGGGCCTTCGGCGAAATCCGCCACCGTGCCTGTACCTGGGTAATGGCTCAGAGGCGTCTGGGGTCCCTCTTGGAGGCAGCTTTGGGGCCTCTTGGGGGCCGTCTTGGGGCCTCGTGGGGCTTGCTTTGGGCTTCTTGAGGGCTTCTGGGGACCTCTTGGCGTTCCCTTGGGGGTGTCTTTTGGGCCTTGCGTGGGCGTATGGGTGCCCAGGGCTCGGAATGTCAGGGTCTTTCCCCGTTCTTTTTGGCCCCCTCTTGGGCCTGGCTTGAGCTCCTCTGGGGCCGTCTTGGGCGCGTCTTGGGCCATCTTGGGGCTCCCTGGGCCGTCTGGGGACGCGTTCGGAGGCCTGGTGGGCCGTCCTGGGGCGGTCTTGTGGGTCTCCTCGGCCGTCTCGGAGCGTCGGCTAGCCGAGAAGGCGAGAAGGCAAAACTCCTTCAGAGGCCATGGAACAGTGAGGGATTTCTCCCACGCTAGCCTCTTTCGGGATGACTCGCGGGGTCCGAGCGGGGATGTTCCTGACAGGCCCTCAAGATTGATTTTGGTGGGCCTCCTGGGTTTTGGGGCGGCCTCCCAGAGGTCGCAAACATCGGAGGACTGGGGACGTCGTGGGGCTTCTCGGGGGCCTGAGTGGGGCCTTTCGGCGTCCTCCTGTTGGGCCGTCTGCAAACCGTACTGGCGACCTCTTGGGCCGTCTGGAAGCGTCTCGAGCCCTGTGGGACCGTCTCGAAACCTGGCGGGGCCCGCCGGTACTCGGAGACTGCAGTCGCGTCTCGGTGCCCTCCCTCCTGGCACGCGGGGCTGCCAGCCGCATGTGAGAGATAACGGTTGGCTGCAGCTTCGACTCACACATCTCGCTGAGCAGCGATAGAGCCCGCTGCCACTGCTCACCCTTCTCGCACGCGCTGATCCCAGCGTTGTAGCTGACTAGGGCAGACCTGTGGACTCCGTCCACGACATCAGCTCGACGTGGCGAGGGGTCTCTGGGCAAGCGCGGGGGGGTGCGGCTGCAGGGCCCGACGCAGTTCGCGTCCTTGACCACGATGGCCAGTTGAAGGCGCTCTCCACACCCTCCAGGACCTCCTGCTCTCCTGTGTTCCTCAGCTGCTGCTGCTGCTCGGAGGTCCTGCTGCTTCCTCCCCCTCCTCCTCCTCCTCCTCCTCCTCCGCCTCCTCCTCCTCCTCCTCCTCCGCCTCCTCCTCTTCCACCTTCTCCTCCTCTTTCGCTCGATTCTCCATGCCCTCGGTCGGCAATCGTCGATCCTACGACGACTCTCCCCAACAGAGAAACATCGAAGGCCCTCGGAGCGTCCAACATTGTTCTTTTGTGCCTTCGATATGCCGGTCGCCTCTCGTCCGCTCCCCCCCTCCTGGAAGCAATTCTGAGGCCACGTAGGGCTTCGTGGGGGCCGTTTGGGGATCTCTTGGGGCGTTTTTGCCTGCGATATGCCTGTCGCCTCTCGTCCGCTCCCCCGCTCCTGGAGGGAATTCTGAAGCCACTGAAGGCTTCGTGGGGGCCGTTTCGGAGCCTCTTCGGCCTTCTTTTGGGCCTCCCGGGGGGGCTCTTAGGGCCCTCTCGGGCCGTCTTGGGTGCCTCTTGGGCCGTCTTGGGGCCGTCTGAGGCCCGCCTCGGCGCCTCTTGGGCTGTCTTGGGCCGTCTTGGGCCGCTCCTGGGGCCGTCTTGGGTGCCTCTTGGGCCGTCTTGGGCGCCTCCTGGGCCGTCCTGGGGCGTCTTGGGACCGTCTGGGGGCCCTCCTGGCCCGTCTTGGGGCTCTCTTGGGGTCCTCTTCGGCCGTCTTGGAGCGGTCGGGGGGACTTCTTGGGCCGTCTTGGAGCGTCGGGAAGCCGAAGAGGCGAGGAGGCCGAAAACATAGAAAAACACAATAGAAATCGACGATTTCTGTCGCTCGGGGCCCTCTTGGGAGGCCTCTTGGGAGGCCTCTTCGGGCGTCTTGGACGCCTCTTGGGCCGTCTGGGGCGAATCTCGGGCGTCTTGGGCCCATCTTTAAGCGTGCCGGGGCTCTCCGGGGCCGTCTTGGGGGCTTCTGGGGGCCCTCTCGGCGTGTCCTGGAGCCTGCCTGGGCGGCCCGGGGCGGCCCGGGGCCAGCCCGGGGCGATTATTGGTCACTTGATCCTGCGCCCTTCTGGTACGCACTGGGCCCTGCAATGTAGTAGAGACTAGGGCTGACCCGTGGACTCCGTCCACGACATCTTTCTGGAATGGTTCTCGGAGGAACGGCGCAGATTGTACCGAAAATCTATAAACACGGCGGCGGCTCGGGCGGCGGCAGCGAGACCGCGCCTTCGTGTCCGAGCTCTTGCAGCGCTCCAGCAGCTTGGCCCCAGCGCACTGCTCGTTCACCCCCTTCCTATTGAGGGCAGTGTCGAAGTCTCTCGGGGATGTGCGTCGAAGTCGAAGCCCATCTGAGGCGTCTCAGGAGTGCCCGGGGAAAGGCTCGGGAGGCCATCGGGGAAAGCCACCGAAAGCGCCGGGGAGGCTCGCAAGGATCTACAGGGAGGGCCCAAGAGAGCTTCAAGAAAATTTGAAATCCAGTGAACTCTGAAGAGAAACCGCTGTTGGGTCGGCCATCACCTCCGGGCACGCCTTGATGGCGCGATCCAGTCGCATCGCCGCCAACGGGAGGGTTTGTTCGCCATGTCCCATTATGTTCGCCCAGAGGGTCTGTGGAGGCCTTCGGGCGAACAGAACGGCACAGGGCAAGGAATGGGGAAGACTTGTCCGAATCTCCTGAGCCCCCCAGGTGCTCGTCCGAAGAGTGCCGAGAAGTCCGTGGTGGGTCATATCGATTGGCTGCTGTCCCAGGGGTCCGGTCTGGTTGGCCCGAAGAGTTTGCCAAGGCCCCTGGGGGAACAGAATGGCACAGCATATCGGGCTAAGGGGGGCGGTAGCTGGCCTGTCAGACCCGGCGTTCGTCTTCTGCCCAAGCGGCGCGGGGCCCACGGGCCCCAGGGTTGGCGGCCCGCTGGGTTTCCTCTTGTTCGCCCACAGGGTTGGGGGAGGCCTCCAGGCGAACAGAATGGGGCAGGACAATGAATGTGGGAGACTTGTCGCAAGCTGCCAACCCCCCAAGTGTTCACCCGAAGGGTGTGGGGCCGCGTTTGCTCCCTCAAAGGGCCGTCTTGGAGCCGTCTAGGCCCGTCTTGAGGGCGCCGTTTGCCGTGATGGGGCCGTCTTGGTTCGTCGTGGGCCCCTCATGGGCCCTCATGGGCGCGTCCGTAGGCCGTCCTGGGCCCATCGGGGTCCTTGTTGGCACTGCCGTGGGGCTGTCTTGGAGCCGTCTGGGGCCGTGAGGGGGCCGCCTTGGAGTCGTCTTGGGCCCCTCCTGTGCGCCTCCTTGGGCCGTCCTGGGCCCGGCCGGGGCCGTCTTGGCACCCTCTTGGGGCTGTCTTGGGGCCGTCTTGAGCCGTCGCAGCGCGCCTTGGGTTGTGCTGGGTCCGTGGCGGCCTTTGTTGGGGCCTCGTTGGGGTTCCTTGGGAGCCTCCTGGGGCCTCTTCGGGGGGTTCTTGGCGGCCCCTTGGGGCCTCTTGGGGGCCTGTTTGGGCCTCCTGGCGCCCTCTTGGGGCGGAAGGCTCGGATTTTCAGTCAGTGGTCCTCCTCTCGGTCCCCTCTTGGGTCTGTCTTCGGGCCCTCGTGGGCCGTCTTGAGCGTCTCTTGGGTCGTCTTGGGGCCCTCTTGGGCTGTCTTGGGGCGCCCTTGAAAGCCTCTTGGGCCGTTCTGGGGCGCTCTTGGAGGCCTCTTGGGCCGTCTTCGAGCGTCGGAAAGCGGAAAAGGCGAGAATGCCAAAATCCTTTCCAAACCGTCGTAAAGTGGATGATTTTGGCTGCTCGGGGCC